TGATAATTTTGCTAAGCCATGGATATTAGAAGCTGTATGTGAAAAAATTATTAGACTGTCTATCTAATATTTTGTCAAAAGAAGTTTTTGAATATTTTTCAATCGCTCCTTCCTACGATCTTCATCCAAATAATCATCTTCAAATTCGAAATCTTTAGTTTCTTTGAGATACCAAATTTGATATGGTTGGAAAAAGTGTTCTCGTTCTCGCCAACCAATTGTGCTATAGATCCAAAAAGTAAAATAATCCAATATTTCAACAATATTTTCATATTCAGTCCTATTATAGATATTGGTTTGAAGTACCAGAATATCTTCTGTACCATAAAATAGCCTGGAATAGAGTTATCTTCTGGACTATTCATTCCATCATTGTTTATGAAGGATATAGTTTCTAATTGAGTTATCAAATTGTTTATTTGGATTTTTGCTTCTTTGTTTAAGTCAATAGTTATTATAGAACCTAAATTGTCTATTTTAGATTCTATAGACTCAACTTTAGTTTCTAGATAATTCTGATTTGTGTTTTGATTTTTATTTAATTTAAAAAACCAAGAACACATAATATCGGTAATATTATTTAAATTAGAACACATACTATTTATATTTGTAGCCTCTTTAGTAATATGCAAACTATAGTCATATTTATTATTAACATTATTTTTGTATTTCCAAAACATATTGTATCTTCAGGGTTAATTGCCATTATAGATTGTTGTTGGTACCTAAGATCCTTCTAGTGTATTTATTTGGTGCCTAAAACCTCTCTTTATGATCTTAAAGACTTAAAAATGCCTAATTATGGCCAATAGTCAAAAGATCTTAACGAGTATATGGGCTTTGACATACACTAAATATATAGGTTTTACAACAACTATAAATAAAACAAATAATTATGAAGATATAAAATACAAAAGATACACAATTTAAGATTAAACTTGACGAATAATATTTTATGATTTTCTTTTTAATTATCATTAAGCACACCATACACAATTATATATATCAAAATTTATACATAGATAGAAATACTTACATAACTTGATCTTGCTTTCAAAAGCTCTTCACTAAGCTCTGATACCTTGTCTTGTCTTGTCATGTCGAATGGACTAATGAACTATATTAATGGCTACCTTATTATCACAATACAATTTCATGGGTTCTTTGTTATACAATCTGAAGACCTTGAGTAAAATCTGAAGCCATATAAGCTTGCATATACCATGAGCCATGTTCTTGCACTCTACCTCTGCACTAAATCTGTCCACTATGGGTTGCTTCATACTTATCCATGTAACTAAATTTCTCCTTACAATAGTACAATATCTGGAAGTAGACTTCCTATCATCAACTGTACCTGCCCGATCTACATTAGTAAAAACCTCCAACCAAGCCAATTTATAGAATACAACTCCATAAACAAACAAAACCAAAAAGTCTAGTCTAAATTTAATACATACCTAATTGGTTGGACTATCAAATACATACGTTCAACTTTGCAAGCTTTCTAAAAGTCTATACTCCAAAAGTTGACTAGCCTAGACTTAGGCTTGTAAATATAATTTGACAATCATATATGACACTTAGACATATTTATGGAGGTTCTGACAAATTCCAACTAAGCCACAATTATATACAAATATACATGACTGTCTACCCTCAGTTTTCAAAAGGATAGACTGAAACAGAAAAGATTTGGCTGATCTTTTCTGTTTTGTAGTGTCGGCTGAAAAAATTTGTCTGACCACTTTCCGCCTAATAACATAGGTTGCTTCATTTGTCCTGAATAAGGTTGGAGTTGATCATGAGACAACTGCATGTGATAGTGGGGTCCACTATGCTTCCATCCTGTTTACGAGATTGTAATATTCTTCGTCAGTCTTTGATGGAGGGGAATCAGGATCTTGGCTGTATCGCTTATTCTGAAATTGTTCTACATCGTCCGCGGTCATGGCTAGTTTCAACAGAAGATCCAAATTATTTCTCATTTTGAGATTTAATAACATGTCAAGAGTCTCATTAATTTGTGTAGGAGACATTTGATATATTATGGAAAAATGAGTTACAAATAGTATTCTACCATCTGTGACCATGAATGATAATTTTGCTAAGCCATGGATATTAGAAGCTGTATGTGGAAAAATTATTAGACTGTCTATCTAATATTTTGTCAAAAGAAGTTTTTGAATATTTTTCAATCGCTCGTTCCTACGATCTTCATCCAAATAATCATCTTCAAATTCGAAATCTTTAGTTTCTTTGAGATACTAAATTTGATATGGTTGGAAAAAGTGTTCTCGTTCTCGCCAACCAATTGTACTATAGATCCAAAAAGTAAAATAATCCAATATTTCAACAATATTTTCATATTCAGTCCTATTATAGATATTGGTTTGAAGTACCAGAATATCTTCTGTACCATAAAATAGCCTGGAATAGAGTTATCTTCTGGACTATTCATTCCATCATTGTTTATGAAGGATATAGTTTCTAATTGAGTTATCAAATTGTTTATTTGGTTTTTTGCTTCTTTGTTTAAGTCAATAGTTATTATAGAATCTAAATTGTCTATTTTAGATTCTATAGACTCAACTTTGGTTTCTAGATAATTCTGATTTGTGTTTTGATTTTTATTTAATTTAAAAAACCAAGAACACATAATATCGGTAATATTATTTAAATTAGAACACATACTATTTATATTTGTAGCCTCTTTAGTAATATGCAAACTATAGTCATATTTATTATTAACATTATTTTTGTATTTCCAAAACATATTGTATCTTCAGGGTTAATTGCCATTATAGATTGTTGTTGGTACCTAAGATCCTTCTAGTGTATTTATTTGGTGCCTAAAACCTCTCTTTATGATCTTAAAGACTTAAAAATGCCTAATTATGACCAATAGTCAAAAGATCTTAGCGAGTATATGGGCTTTGACATACACTAAACATATAGGTTTTACAACAACTATAAATAAAACAAATAATTATGAAGATATAAAATACAAAAGATACACAATTTAAGATTAAACTTGATGAATAATATTTTATGATTTTCTTTTTAAATATCATTAAGCACACCATACACAATTATATATATCAAAATTTATACATAGATAGAAATACTTACATAACTTGATCTTGCTTTCAAAAGCTCTTCACTAAGCTCTGATACCTTGTCTTGTCTTGTCATGTTGAATGGACTAATGAACTATATTAATGGCTACCTTATTATCACAATACAATTTCATGGGTTCTTTGTTATACAATCTGAAGACCTTTAGTAAAATCTGAAGCCATATAAGCTTGCATATACCATGAGCCATGTTCTTGCACTCTACCTCTGCACTAAATCTGTCCACTATGGGTTGCTCCATACTTATCCATGTAACTAAATTTCTCCTTACAATAGTACAATATCTGGAAGTAGACTTCCTATCATCAACTGTACCTGCCCGATCTACATTAGTAAAAACCTCCAACCACTCCAATCTCAGATGACTATGGTTAGAGAACAAGATCCCTTTTCTTGGAGCCTACTTAAAGTGCATAAGAATCCGATGAACATGTAGATGTACCGTACGAGGATCATGTATAAACTGATTGACTACCCTAGTGTATGTCCAATATCCGATTGAGTATGAGATAGGTACATCAGTCTCCCAAAACAAAATCTCTGGTACCTACCCTTATCAACTAGATCGCTAACACTACAATTGAGTTAGTGATTTGCAGCAATAGAAGAATTTGGTGGTCTACACCCAACATGCCTGTTTCCTTAAGAAGATCAGAATGTACTTTCTTTTATTAATAAAATGCCCTAGTTCGATCTTGCAAGTTCAATTCCAAGAAAGTATCTCAATAAACCTAGATCTTTGATTTCACATTCCTTGACTAGGTGTACTGTAAGTTGAGACTTCTTCTACATCATTTCGTGTTACCACTGTTATTCTAATACACAAGAGGGTAATTTTATCCTCATCTTGTTTAATGAATGTGGTATGATCTACATTGTCTTGCTTATACCCAAACCTCAGAACTCCACTCCTCCCACCTGCCTTGTAACCCAAGTACAAGTTTTACTTGCCTACCCCCAAACCTGCCCCTATGGTTGAAGTGCCTGAACCTATCTCATTAGGGTCAGGGTGGGGCAGGGACCATGGTATGGGATTTTTTGCCATTCCTTTGCAGGTTCTTGCTGTCCACATTGCTTGACTGATAGTTGTGGGAGGGGGATCACAAAATTGAAGTAGATGAAGAGGGGGAGGAGGCCGTACTAGCAGTCAAATTTCAACCCAAGTCAGGAAATGGTTATACCAAAAAACCAGATCACTGACCTGCTGGATGTTAAAATGAGTATCACACAACTGTATCCTGTTCCATTCATTTTAGACCTACGGATTGTAGTTAAGATAATAAAGCCTTAGAGCAGCTTTTTCCCTGGAGGCCTCTAATTTTTACAAATGAGGTGAAAATAAAGAGTTTTTGCCTTTCTGGGTGTGGCCCTTATAAATCACCAGAGGTTAGGAATTTAGAAGGTATATATGCCGATTGTATGCCTTTGGTGTAATATAATACCTCTAAAAAGATAATGATGTACATGTACATTTACCAACATTATTTGATTTGTTGAGGTTTGAACCATCTGTTGCTTTAATATATTTGTTTTAAATTTTATTTGTTTGAATGGGCCTTTTGATGGGCTTCAGCATACAATTCTGCTTGTGGTCTTGTCAGATGCCGATATCATATAATCATGAATTCAGTTTCAAGCTTATCCACCCTTATGTGACACCTCTGTATTATATTAACATAGGCCAAGTTTGTTAGCTGACTGCTATCCACATATCCCTGGACCCCAAATCTCGAACATTTAGTTCTTGTTTTACTTCTGTGGTACTTGAGGACACGGACATCATCTTGTATTCATGCCTAGTCTAATTAGATTTCTATATATCCACTTTGGTTCCTATCTTAAATAATTTCAGCTCTTCTCAGGTTGCGGTCATCTCAAACTGTAGCATTTTGGCAGCAGTAGGCCAGAAAATGGCAAGTACTCCTGGAGTCAGTGCTACACTTTTCAATGCGCTTGCAAAGGTTGGTAAAGTTATTAAATTAGTATTATACTCTGCTAAATTTTCATGTGCAGTGCTATTGTCATCCCCTTTCAGCTTCATGCATTCTACATTGTGACTGCCTAGATTCCTGGAAATTCAAAGTTCATGAGAAGTGGAGTGCAGTGAGAAAAAGTTGGTGTGTCAATAGGGCACTCCAGAATTATTCTTCCTGAACATTCAATAAGTAGACATTTTGCCTCCGGAATTACACCTGATTACTGGCATGTGTACATTATGATAGATACTTAACTGCAAAATAAATTTTATCTGTCCTTTTCCCTGTGGTGGAGCCCAATTTCTAGGTTATATGCATGCTTCTCATAAATTTCATGAAAAAGTTAATGAATAGTTACTATACTGCAGGCTAATATTAATGTCCGTGCTATAGCCCAAGGTTGCTCAGAGTACAATATCACTGTGGTTGTCAAACAAGAAGACTGTGTGAAGGCCCTAAGAGCTGTCCACTCAAGATTTTATTTCTCTAAAACCACGATAGCAGTGGGTATTGTTGGATCTGGATTGATTGGTGGCACCTTGCTTGACCAGCTCAGGGATCAGGTACATTCCATTTTCTTTATCAGTCAATTAGTATCATATCTATGATGGATTGTAGTTTATTGATTAAGTTTGAGTCTAGACAGTACAAGTCGATTTGTGATAATTGATAGATTAAGGTTCAATGGTTAAATACTAGAATTGCAACTGTCCGCTTTTCTTTTATGAAGAGCATGAAGTTCACATATTGAATCCTCTTGTGTTTATGAATTTGGACAACATGGTCTTAAAATGAAGCTCTTAAATTCCATCATCTTTGTTGCGTACTTGTATTTTATTTTTTTGGGTGAATTACCGTATCGTACCTTATTTTCAAAATACATTAAAGAGGTTTAAGAATACATAACTTTGATCTCAACCCAACTCAACAGAGCCTTGTTTCCTTTTTTGATATCCGGGAGCACCTTCAGGGTAGGGTCCTCTGGACCAACCCCATAGGATAAAACCTGGGATGTACCCCAACGCCCCCACAAGTGTACATTAGGTGAAGTTGAGGTGGCTCGAATTGGGACTTGCTGCTTTATTGGTATAAGTCTCACCGCTGAGCTACTCGCCGTTAGACAATTTAATGAAGCCTTTGTGACGACCCCATTCCACGCCAAACTATAGTCATTTCATACCAAAGCATAAAAGTGCATCCTATTCAAGGAATTATGTTTCTAAACTATGTTTCAAGGATTCATTAAGCATGCTTCAAAACATTTTAGGTAGAAAAGGAAACTAAACCAAACTAAGCCTTAAGTTCCATCAAATGAGATCAGCTACATGAATCTTTTTTCTCCACTTGACTCCTATCAACTTCTGTTTAGTTAGTCAAATTTAGGAGATTCATATCTTTATTTACTACACTATCTCACGTCAATCTAGGTCTGCCCCTGGCCCTGCCCCTAACACTTCCATCTGTCATCACTGTATCATATCTCTTCACTACCGCCTCTGTTTATATGACCAAACATCTCAATCTATTCTTTCTCAACTTATCTTCTATCGGTACTACTCCTACCCATTCATGAATATACTCATTCCTAACTCTGTCTTTTCTAGTCTTGCCACATATCCACTGTAGCATCCTCATCTCAGTAATACTCATCTTATCTACATGTTGTTTCTTAATTGCCCAACATTCTATCCCATACAATATCGCTGGCCTAATAGTCGTTCTATAGAACTTTTCTTTTAGTTTAGTGGGTACGTGCTTATCACATAGTACCCCAGACGCACTTCTCTACTTAAGCCATCTCGCCTTAATTTTATAGACCACATCCGTTCCAATCTCCCAAGCCGTTGTAATAATCGATCATAAATAACGAAAATTTCACTGTTAGATAGTTCTTGGTTCTCAATCTTCACTTATCCTCTGCTTCCATTATTACTATTACTAAAATTATACTTTATGTACTCTGTTTTAGTTTTGCTTATCCTAAATCTTTTAAATTCTAGTGCTTGTCTCCAAGTCTTCAATTTAGTGTTAACTCTTTCTCTAGTCTCGTCTACTAACGCGATATCATTTGCAAAAAGCATATACCATGACACATCATCTTGAATATTTCGCCATATACAAAGCAAGACCGGTTGGTATGCGCTTCCAAATACTGCACATTTGTGGGTGGCAACCTAGTCACATGGCGAAATAAGAAACAGAATATGGTGGCTAGATCTAATGCTGAGAGGGTGTATGTGAGTTACTATGGATTAAACTATTGTTGGAAGACTTGGGAATCCATCAAATTGACGCCTATGAGACTTTACTGTGACAAAAAGGCCGCAATCAACATAGCTCATATCCCAGTTCAACATGATAGAACTAAGCATGTGGAGATTGATAGGCACTTCATTAAGGAAAAACTCACTAATGGCATCATATATATACCATTTGTGAAGACTGGAGACTAACTAGCCGATGTTCTCACCAAGGGGCTGGGGAGCAAACCATTTCATGGCATTCTCAACTAGCTGGGCATGAGAGATATCTTTGCACCAGCTTGAGGGGGAGTGTTAGAATAGGAAACGAGTTAGAATAGGAAATATGTGATTGTATTTTCTTCTTCTTTATTCCCTTGATTGGTGTTATGGGTTGAACCATATATTATGCCTTATGACACTCATGTAATTACTCAGTATTATTAATATAAAAGGGAATGAAATCTACCTCATTCCCTAACTATTTCTCTTCTTTAAACCTACAAGAACATCCCTCATGAGATTCTCCAATCTCTGTGCAATAGATGCTAGAATAACAAATAAGGGCATATAATAAGTAGACAAGCTAAAAAGAGTACTTTTGATAATGAGCTTGACCTCTTAGATAGATATTGTCTCTTCCACCCTACCAACCTATTTTGGAACCTCTGAATCATCGGATCCCAAATAGCCCTATTATCCCAGATAGCTTTAGCTTTGAAGGAAGCACCTAGAGGCAAAACCAAATGAGAAGGAATAGGCCCAACCAACTCTACATCCAAAACATCAAATAAGGATTTCACATTAGAAAGCTCAATTTAACTTTAAGGCCTGAGACTGCCTCAAAAACATAATAGAAAATACCTCTAGAATAACTGTGTTACATTTTCCCCACAAAAAATGATAGTATCATCTGCATACAAGTGACACACAACTAACTTCAAACAATTCTCTTATCCACCCTAAATTCCTCCAGAAAGCTACCTCCCACCACTTTTTTGATCATACGGCTTAATGTCTACATAACTAGAATGAGCAAAATGGATAGGGTCTCCATTATTTGAATCCCTAGTTGTTGAAAAAAAAAAAGTTTGACATTATAGTGGGCTTGTTTGGTGCAGCTTGTCTCAAGCTAAAAGTTGAAAATCAAAAAGCAGAAGCCAAAAGCACCTCTCCCCTAGCTTTTAGATAATCAATTTTTTTAATTTATTTAGAGTGATGCTAGGGAACCCAAATATCTATCAATTTTTCTACCAAACCTCACATGAGTGTGAGACCCATACACATGTGGGTTTGTGTGGGTCCCACACCCATGTGAGAGGTTTGGTAGAAAATTTGATAGATTATTTGGGGTTCATAACATTTTCCATTTATTTAAGCTATTTCTACCTAATAAGCTGTAAGTATAAGTTGCACCAAATATTCTGGTACAGACTCCTAGAATAAATTAGGTTATAAGTAGCTCAGATAAGTTGCAACAAACTGCCCAAGAGTTCTATTTAGTTTTTCCATCTATAGGTCAGTGTTATCAGAGGCGTGAGTAAGCGCTCGCCTAAGTGCTAAGCGAGGCGAGGCGAGGCGAAGTTGAAGCGCATGAGGCGAGGCTTAGGCGACGAAGCAAGTGGCGATTCGAAGCGACGCTTCATTAATTTCAGTCTTATTTCAATTCGACAGATCTGGGTCCTTCATTTGGATGACTTTTGTGCTAATTGTGGACATGCGATGCACTTTATGATTGCTTTCTTCTTCATATGTTGACTTTCTCTCAGTCGAAACCCTAAGTCGACTTCCTCTCAGTCGACATTTGCTTCGAACGACTGACTAACTACCTGCGGCTGCTTCTTCCTTCTTTGGACAAAGGTGAGTACCTTCCTTTTTTCTTCCTTTCTTCTTCTTCTTCCTTTCTTCTCCTCCTACTGCTGCGTCTTCGTCTTCGTCTTCTTTTCTTCTTCTTCCTTTCGTCTCTTCTTCCTTTCTTCATCTTCAATTATTTTGTTGAATAATTTCAATTATTTAATGACAAAATTTCAATTAATTTTGCTGAAAAATTTCAATTATTTACTGAAATTTTTTCAATTATTTTGTTGAATAATTTCAATTATTTAATGACAAAATTTCAATTAATTTTGCTGAAAAATTTCAATTATTTACTGAAATTTTTTCAATTATTTTGTTGAATAATTTCAATTATTTAATGACAAAATTTCAATTAATTTTGCTGAAAAATTTCAATTATTTACTGAAATTTTTTCAATTATTTTGTTGAATAATTTCAATTATTTAATGACAAAATTTCAATTAATTTTGCTGAAAAATTTCAATTATTTACTGAAATTTTTTCAATTATTTTGTTGAATAATTTCAATTATTTAATGACAAAATTTCAATTAATTTTGCTGAAAAATTTCAATTATTTACTGAAATTTTTTCAATTATTTTGTTGAATAATTTCAATTATATAATGAAAAAATTTCAATTAATTTTGCTGTAAATTTTTAATTATTTTGTTGAAAAATTTCAATTATTTAATGAAAAATTTTCAATTAATTTTTTTTAATTATTTTGCTGAAAAATTTCAATTATTTAATGAAAAAATTTCAATTGCTTGGTTGGTTAGAATTAATGAAAAAATTTCAATTATTTAGAACCTTTGGATTGTTGAATTGTATTTGTCTTTGTCGGATATTTTCTGTTGTTTATGAATATTTAGTATTTGGAATGATAAATTCATGATGGTTCTTGAAAATATTTATATTTTTGTCTATACTATTTATTTAAAAAAAATATCATTTGTGGTCACCTCGATTCGATGAAGCCCTCGCCTCGCCTCCTCGCCTTGCGCTTAGGCGTTAAGAGACCTTGTCGCCTCGGTTCGCTTTTCGCCTTAAAAAACACTGCTATAGGTACATGAGCCCACACCCACTATGTGGCATTGCCATATCGCCGCTTCATCACTGTCGGGAGACTTCTCCTAGAAGACTCACATGCCACTTGTCAATCTCCCATAAGGAAACTTATGGGCTCAGTTACTTTTGCAGGCCCCCGCTATGCTTGCCCTTGTCAACATGCTCATTTGAGCTAGCACTATACTTAGATGTGGCACCGTGTTCTCTTGTTTTTTTGGCTTGCTGAGTGCCTTGTCAAGTGAGGCTTCAACCTTGAAGATCCATGACACAACACCTGCATTGTGCTACCTAGACTAATAGAAAGGCCTAGGTACCTTGCTTGGGACCAATGGAGGATTTATGGATTGAAGGCTAGAGTTTAAGGTTGTCTGGACGCTTGCTAACCTCCCCTCAAGAATAAGGGGTGCTCGGATCAATCTTAGAGAGAAGAGGGCCTTTGTCCAGGAGACGCCATTCCGTGATGGCTGTATGATACTTTACCTTTGAGCCACTATGCCATCGGCCAACAAGATGTATCATACTCACCAACTATCTGCATGTGATACGTGTCCCAATGTTGTATATTTGATCGAGTTTTTCTCCATTTGCCTAGCCAAGGGAGTTCACCACTTGTCTTCATCTGAGCTGGCTCCCACTAATTTGCCACCATATATAAAGGAAACCTCCATGCATGCAACGGCACACTTAACATCCTCTTGCTCCTCTCCGGATTATAGCTCTCCACTGCAATTCTCTCTCTCTCTCTCTCTCTCTCTCTCTCAAGCCCGCCTTGGTTCTCTCCTCTCTCACCTTTGGTGGTCTCTAGCCATCTTTCTGCCTGCCATATTCCCTACTCACCTCCAACTATCCACACCATCAAACATATGACGTACAAGTACAATTATAAAGCAGTAAGGACAGACAAGAAGTTATGAGCCAATGAATGGGCTTTAAAAAGTTACAGGTTCATACTTACATGTAAATGAGAAGGAAAACATAAACACACCCGACCAAGCATATGTTCAGTTTTCAAAAGCATACTTACACATCCATACATTTTCTGTTATATTTGTCATATTATGAGAGAGAGGAAGAAGTACCTGAAACTATTTTTCTTGGAAACAATTTTTTTTTTTTTTGAAATGACAATTTGCAAAAAGAAGAAAATAGCTGAAAAGAGAAAAAGAAAAGAAAATTATAAGAAGAAATGGATGTAATGATTGGAATCTGAGTTGGAAATTGAATGTAGAGATGTAAAATGAAGTTGAGAAGGGAGTTCATAGCTTGATTGAAGGAAATCGAATGTAGATTATGGGTTCAAGTCTTGGGACAACCACTTTGTGCACTGTGCCAAAGGTTAGGTATATATTCAATCTTTCCCCTTCCAACCACACATTAATGTGTACTAATTGGGCGTCGTTGTTGTTAGAGCCAAGCAAATTGGAGAGTTTCTGATCTGAAGACGTAGGCTAATCTATAATGTTGGCCTCCAAATTCATGTAGGATGAAATTGGCCAAGCAGAGTTCTACTAATTTTAAAACTTAAATCAGGTAGGACTGGATGAAATTGTTTAAAGTAAGAAACAAAAAAAAAAAAATCTGAGGAAGTATTTTGGAAAGGATAGTACTATACAAACAGAATTTCTATGCAAATATTGTATACAGAATGATGTGACTCATTTATAGCCATTCATTGGAAATCAAAAAGCTCACTGCTATGAGTCATAATTGCATAAATGCTATTGCTATATCAATTTGTATGACCTTTTTGTATGAAAATTGGGAAATCAAAAGTAAGAAACACTTGGGGGACCTAAAGTACATTTGTATAATATTATTGATCATTCATGTCCTTGGATCCTAGGACCCTGGTAGCCGTTGGTCGAACTGTTCAACAAGCATGCACTTCGTATGTCTCCTAGTTCATGTTGGATTACATAGCTTAATAAACTTATTTTAATCATATTACCAGATTTTTATCAATATGGAATTGTAATTAAAAAAAAGCAGGAAATAGAATTTTAATATACAATTACTAATCAAAACAAATATTTAAATAGACGACAAATTGACATATTTTCTTCAGGATGACTCTCTTCCCTAGTGAAGCCATTGCAAATTGATATTGAAGGCCTATATTCTTTTTAACTCTAGTCTTCAAAGCCACAAAGATTGTGTTGTCCAAGTGAAAAGCAACTAAGGTATTTTGAAACTACTGAGCTAAAATGGGTCTAAAAATTTTGAATGCATTTGAGTCTAGGTTTTGTGAACTTACTCAACAAACGGATACTTCAGGAGCGATGGAATTGTTAACCATAAGGTAGTTTTGGAGTGAGAAGCCAAGGGCTAACATATTTTGAGTGAAAAGCATTCTGGAAAGCTTTGATATTAAGTTCAGAAAGCTAAGGCTAACATATTTTTTATGCTGACCGTGATACATAAATTCTTTTTGGCAGGCAGCGGTCCTCAAGGAACAGTTTAACATCGACTTGCGTGTTATGGGTATCACTGGCTCAAGGAGAATGCTTCTGAGTGACACGTAAGTTTTACATTTAAAGGATTTTTATGCTGGGGTTTTTTCCTATTAGAATGGGTGCGACACAAGTATGGTTCCTTGGTTTTCTAGTTGGGGTGATATGTGTGTGTGTGTACCAATTTTGCACTGAACCAAAAATGGTATGAAGTAGAATGAAAAATGAATCTATGCTCAGATCATGAAGGTTGTAACTCATTTTGGGATTGATGTCAATGAGATGAAGTCTTTACTTTTGGTTTGTGATTACATAACAAATGATGAAGGGAAATCACATCGAACAAATAAACTGCTGTTGCTATTCTTTGATTTTTGAGTTTTTTTTTTTTTTTTTTTTGGTGCTGTTTTTCTTTTTTGTGCGTGTGTGTGTGTGTGGCTGTGAGTGTTCCTTAGGCTCCAACCCACATAATTAAAGATTAAAACTTGATGCCTGAAAGTACTTGGAAGCTGAGCATGTGTGTTCACTTCCTTACATCAGTGGTGGACCTCCGGTTGGCAGGCATTTTTCTTTTGCTAATGATCTTGTACCCAACATTCTGGATAAAAAAGGTAATGCATGAGCGTTGGAGGAATGGGGTAGATTCTTCCTCCAAATTGATAGGGAAACTGGCAAGGCTTACCCTGTTTAGGCATAAGACAACCAAGATCAATTGATTTACAAATCATCCCCTTGTTATTTACAAGATTGGAGAATGCTACGAAGTTTAAAGGCAATCGGTGGGTGGTACTTTTGTTGGTTGGTGCACTGACCACCTCCTCACAAATTGGTCTAAACTGCAGAGGTGTAATGTAGAGGACATAGCTGTCCCACTGCTGGAGACGATATTGAATCCACTGTAAATACTTTTAGGGATGCAACACTTCCACTTGTACCTAGTACTTAAAATGTGGAGGAGGTTTGATTCATTTGTACCTAGTACCTAGAATGTGGAGGAGATTTGTCAAACCAGAAATTTGGGAAGATTTTTTCAGAGCTCATTTCCAAGAATAAGTTGACATGAACATTCACTTTATCGAGATTCTTCTATTCGCTAATATGGGGCGTCAAGTTTGTGATTCACATTATATGTTGTGAATGATTGATAATTATTGTTACTTGTTTTAGTTAGGGAGTTATATATAATTATCATGATTTCAGTTTACCCTTCTTTTTTGTGCAAATTCAATATTGTTTTGGTTGGCAGTTTTAACTTGCGTTTGTGTTGGAAGGAACTTAGGTTTTATTTTTCATTAAAATTTTCTTTTTCCTTGGTTTCTGACTAGAAGTAACATCCTTTGTGGGGCCGGACCCTCGAGCATTCTAGTTGAAAATTGGGTTAATGTGCCATTAGGCCTACATGGCTGGTGGTCAGGTTTTTCTTTTCATGTCAACCTATTAATTGGCTTAAGCTTATGTTTTTGCATTAAGAGTAGTTTTCTTTCATGCCTTACATGTTCTCATCTCACCAAATATATGTGAAGAATGTGAGATATCCAAGTAGTCTAATTGAAATGCATGTTCTTCATGGTCTTCAATTGCACCAAAAGGAGAGCTTGATAGAACCTCTTTTGGTCACAAAGCTAATGTATTTCCTGTCAGCCTCTTCTGTTGTAACCACTACCTACTGCTTCATGGCTAGTGTTAAATAGTCTGTCTTAGGTCTTTTGATGATCTTTCTCTTATATCTTTCTCATGCTGCCATTGCCCCTTTTTCTTTATATGCTGGAGCTTTTCAGTTGATGGGTCGTAATCTAATTGAGCTGACAAGTAGCCTCTCAAGAATTCTTACACTAAAGAAGAAAAGAATTCTCTGCCAAGGATTATGACCCCTAAACATTTTCATCTCTGGTTATAGGGGTATTGACTTATCTAGATGGAGAGATCTTCAAAAGGTGGAGGGAGAAGTGGCTGACCTGGAGAAATTTGTTCACAATGTGCATGGAAATCATTTTATTCCAAATACTGTTTTGGTAGATTGTACGGCAGACTCTGGTGTCGTAAGCCGTTACTATGAATGGTTGCGAAGAGGAATTCACGTAATTACCCCAAATAAGAAGGCAAATTCAGGACCACTTGAGCAGGTAACATTATACTTGTATGATTTAGTGTACCCTTGTTATGATTTTACAAGTGAAATGGTTGTTAGTTTAGATCATTATTGGCTTTAGTTCAATAAATTTGCTACAATATGATGCATATTTGTGTTATCCACCAATGATGTATTCTCATTTACTAATAATCAATACTTGAAGAAAATCTATTTGCATCTTTTTTTCCGTTTCATTTTCTGAAAAACTCGTCTAGGGGCTTTCATGACTGGATTTTGTCCAAATCCCAGTATTTGAAGTTGAGAGCTCTTCAACGGCAATCCTATACACATTACTTCTATGAAGCTACTGTTGGAGCTGGGCTTCCAATCATTAGCACTTTACAAGGTCTCCTTGAAACTGGGGACAAGATATTGCGGATTGAAGGCATTTTCAGGTTGGTCATACTGGTTTTCTCAACTAATAAAAACAAAAAGTTACTGATATGATTGATGACTGTGGCTCACCCAGTATCTAAGATGTTTTTGCTCATGTGGATGGTATACAATAAATTTCTGTCAACTTGTCTTCACTCTAAGCTTTGTTGACGCAGTGGGACTCTGAGTTACATTTTCAACAACTTTATAGGAACACGAGCTTTCAGTGAGGTGGTGGCTGAGGCAAAAGAGGCAGGTTTTACTGAACCAGATCCAAGGGATGATTTTTCTGGAACAGATGTGGCCAGAAAGGTAATAAGTGCTAACTTCCTCTGATAGAAGTTTATAGCAGTCCATGAGTGCCTCTGTTGCTGCAAATTTCAGAGAGCTCTTTTGTGAGTAAAGATCTCTTTAATTTCCTTTTGGTAGTGACCTGGATATAAAACTAATTGTGTCCAAAAAAAAAAAGGTGTTCAACATTAGCCCGGAAGTTGGAAAAACGGGCGCCGGGAGGCTCCGGAGGAGAGATAACTGGTTGCTGCAACAATTGCTGGCCTCCCACCCTTCAGTGACCTTCCCTGTGATAAAACAGAGGTACCTGCCAAAAATGAACGAAAACCATTGCAAAACGAATGTTCCGGGGCCAAAACACGCAGTTCGAGGTCCCGAAAATGGGCTGTTAAGCACCGAAAGTGGCATTCGACCTCGAAGTGGGTTTCTCAGCCCCCAGTGTCCCTCAAAACGGAGCAAATAGGAAGTATGCCAAAAATCAGAGCAAACGGAGATGGTTAGGTGGTCCCGAACCGAGGCACACGGCCTGACGATCCCGGAAAACCGGAAACCGGGCTCCGAAATGGGCAAAATGGCCTACGGCCACCAAATGTAGCCTACGGACATTGAGAGATGGTCTACCAGACCTCTCCCTCCCCTCAGGAAAAGAAACCGAGAAAACCGAGTCTGGTTCGCAAACCGAGACAAGGCACAGATGAGGGTTCGGAAGTCCGGAAGCAGGGCTCACGGCCGCAACTCTGAAACTTCTGAACGAGCACATTACACAACATCACCAATCGCTCAATCAGTGACGTCTGAGTCTTAAGGTCGGTCAAAAATGGGGTGTCTACATAGGGTTCGTCAGATTTGTTATGATTTGTTGCAAGAGTATCAGTACCGAGTTGGTAGGGAGACCGATATTGTTGGTAACTGTTCTATTCATCCAAAAATTGTTACAGCGACCTTTTTAGAGTATGATTTGTTTATTAGCAGAAAGAGAAGTAAAAAAATGAAGAATATAAGATCAGAGTTGAACCATTATCTAGAAGATGACGTTTTGCCAAGAACTTCAGGTTTTGATGTTTTGAATTAGTGGAAAGCTAATGGGCCAACGTATCCAACCTTACAGGCAATAGCTAGGGATATTTTAACTATTCATGTATCCACTGTTGCTTTTGAGTCAGCATTTAGTACTAATGGAAAGTTGGTGAGTCCACATCGTAGTAGATTTCATCCAAACACATTAGAAGCATTAATGTGTACACAAAGTTAGTTGTGGGGTGCAGAGATAAAGGATACTCATATTATTATTTCATCCAATCTACATTTTATTATTTCACTTTTATATTACCATGGAATAATTTCAATACTAAATTTAGGCGGTGTTTGGGAACAAATTTTTTAGGTTTTTTTTTTTTTGTTTTTTTTTTCACTAAAAGACAAATTGGTTACAAAATCAAAAAAAATAAAGCCAAATAAAATATCACATCAAATCCCATAATCATTTCACTTTTTCTTTCACAAACATTACATCCAACCACAAAAAAAACCCAACTATCTTCCCAAACATTAAAAAAAAAATTTCTCAAATAATATCCTACAAATAAAAAAAACGTACTTCCCAAACACCCACTTATATTCTTTATTTTTTAGAAAATTCAACATTGGAATCGATGAGCTATGCAACTATATATAATAATGATGAGATCGACTCGGATGAGTCGTGTGCCACTTTTGTGTTAGTTGTCATCTTTTATGTTTTAATTGTTAACATCTTTTATATCTTATTATTAGTATTGATTATTTGTTTTTTTTCTTTTTGTTATTTAACGGGAATTCAAGTTGAATAATGTACGAGCAAGAAATATTCTTCTCGTATGATCCTGTTGATCAAGTCTGCGCTCCTTGGTGCGTCGTCGCTTTACTCCCTGAAAACACAAACGTGAGTTAACCGGCGGGTGTGTGCTGGATACCTCTCTGATGCCTAAGTTAGCAAAATAGACAAATAGACAAAAGCTCTGTGTATTCGAGAATCAAAGTTGTGTTACCTCTTCCATAGGTTATATTATGAGCTTTTATAGGTTCCGCGTGGCACAATCTCAGTAAGACTCTTATCTCTCCATGTAAAGTCCTCCTAGGAATTACTCTCCTGAAAGATAATGCTTATCCTTCAACACCCCCCTCACTGCTTAAACCAAGTGAGATGGTTTTACCTCGGTAGTATGAAAAAACAACCAAGATAACATAGCTATGCTAAACTGGCAGAAACGACAGAGCTTTAACTAACTCGGCTTTTCCTTTGGCAGCTTGTACCTCAGTTTCACTTCTTGAGACCGCGCTATCCACAGCGTGCTTGGACCGAGCTATTCAATAGCAAGGTTCTTAGTAAAAGCCCAAAATACCCCGGTCCTTAATGGTACGACCGAGCTAGCTGCTACTACTCTAACCGTAGTGACCGAGCTAACAACAAGGCTCTTTTTCGGACCGTGGTAACTACCAGGCCCTTTTACACAAACCTTTTTACTGCGGCCCACAGAACGGCCCATTACCCAGCTCGGCCCAATTTACATATAAATTACCCTCTCAATTGCCCCTTAGTTCCATCTGCGTAGTATGATAGGGATTACCTGTTACCAGCCGAGCTAAAAGTTTTAGCTTTTCAACCGAGCTAAATCCACACCAGGCTACCCATCTGTCCGGTCAAAACGTCTCTTCAGTCTCTATAACTGAATCGCTTCTCATTCTAAGGACACGTGGCAAACTCTTATTGGCCCAATGCAGCTGTCCAGCCGTCTTCGTACTTCACAATATTTGAACAGTCCCGCCATTTTTCCTTCTTTTCATAAAACCAAACCCCTAGGTTTTGAACCATCCATTTGCACTATTCATCTTCTCTCTCTTTCTTGCTCAAGCCTCCATTTTTGCAATCTCAATACCTGCGAAGCTTGCACCCTCTTCACCATTTCGTGGTTTCAGATCTCCATTCTTGCGTCTTCAACCCGTAAGTAACTCAATATTTTCTTGCTTTCCATTCATTTTGCAAATACACACAATACAGATATATATGTACACATATATATCACAAAGCATACTCTACATAAACACGTTATGGGTAAGAATAGAAAAAGCAAGACCCCCAAACCATAGGTTCATGTTTTTAAGAGCACACCCTCTGGATTCAAAAATCACAATGCTTGAATCTGGGATCGTGGTGTGACCGAGCTAGAAACCTGTTTGGGCAATCTCAAGGTTTAGGTTTAACCAAACTAGGGAACCTTCTAGGTGTACACCTAGACAAACTAGATAACTCTTTAACTGACCGAACTAAAACTTTATGCTGAATCTGTAATTTCAATATGTTCAAGTACATTTTGCTTTACTTAGCCGAGCTAGCGAATTGCCTTAAGTTTGCGCAATACCGCACTAGAAAGCCCTAACCACCGACCAAGCCACAACTTGGGGCTAAACCAGCTTCCTTAGTCAAAACCGAACTAAGAATGCTGCCCCAAATGCTTAACCGGGCTAAATGACCCTTGCTCAAACCGGGCTAAGAATGGACAGTATCCCACGTAACCGAGCTAGGACTTCATTTATCTTGCCCTTGTTTCTTTTAGCACGGTCCAACGATCTGTGCTTAACACCTTTCTTTTTCACTTGCAGACTTTGACTAGGTTGCCCAGGCACTCCTCTGACCGTCCAACTGAGATAACCAACCTCATCACCCCACCGAGCTAGCACGTAATTTCCTTTTTTCACATTCTTGATTAGCAAATTAGTTTATTTGAAGGTTTACTACTGGAATACTCTAGCATAAATACCTATGTAAGGCCTAGTTTGGGAAGACTAAATAAGTGCACTTTTTGACTTTTTATGAAATATGGGTTGGGTTTGGGTTGGGTTTGAAGTGATGTGTTAGAGAGGTGATGTGACTTAAATAAGATGATGTGATTTAAATAGGATAGTGACTTTTTGACTTTTTGTCTTTTTTCAATGATGCCAAACTTGGCCTTGGGGTGCATTAGATTTTGGTGAATTAATAATAAATTATGTTGAGTTTTTCTCTATATTAAGTTTTTTCGTGGCTCTTGTTACTTGCGTTCATTCCATACACATTTCCCTACGTTAGCTTGCCTTTGTATTATTACTGTCTACTTGGTATTAACTTGTTAAGCATATGTAGAGATGTTAGTGTCAACACAAGAATTGCATTTTTAACAACTTCATTTTACATGTTAAATAATTTGTTAAAACTTGTCACACTTGCCTCTCTTTGGAGAGAGATTTTCCATGGCTCCTGTGCCATAGGAAGGAGGCTACTCTCCCTTCGAGAGACCTGATGACCTCCAACCTGTTAGTCCAAGCTTGTTTATTGGCTATGTAGTTGTGTATAACCCTTGAGTACCATAGATCTATATTTGGAGCTTTTGGTTTTTTGACCTCCAACCTGTTAGTCTAAGCTTATTTGTTGGTTATGTAGTTGTGTATAACCCTTGACCACCATAGATCCATATTTGGAGTCAAAGTTTTGGGTTTTTGACTTTTCTTTTTTGGTTGCTTTACAATCTTCCCTGGAGTTCCTATTTCATCTAGTGAATGGGTTTATACCAGATCTCTCAATATTTATCTGTGTGGGCTTAACAGTGAGAGGTAAGGTCTACATCTCGAGGTCTCCATTTAGACTTAATCAATCGGTCACTGCTCTTCATTTCTCATTCCAGATTCTTCTTGTGATTAGCAACGTCTGGTAATGGCCATTGATAGAGAGGTTGGAGTGGTGATTTGCTTTTTAGGAGATCTCCTTGGTGTTGCAGATCTCAAAGATATGACTGCATCTCCTTCTCAGTGGGACTGGATGTGTTTGCTTCCTATTATCGTCGTGTTGTTGTCTTGTGTGTGGCGTGGATAGGGCCACAAACAAGCTAAGTTGAGCCAAGTTTTGTTGGGTTCGAGCTTGGTTTGTTTGTTGATGGAGTTCAAAAATTCAGCTCGAACTTGACTTGACACGTTAATACTAATCAAGCTCAATAATGAAATTTTTTATTATTTACATTATTTATTTAAATAATATATTTATTATATTATTTAAATAAATAATAAGCAAGTTGAGTTTTACAAGTTGATTTTATTCAAGCTTGAGTTTGACTCATTTATCAAACGAGCCTAAATTTTAGCTCGAGTCTTTATTGAGTCGAGTCAAG